TTTTTTGAGACAGAGTCTTATTTTGTAACCCTCAGTAGAGTGTTGAGACACCATAGCTCACAGCAACCTCAAATTCTTGGGCTCGGCTCGGCGCCTGTGGCTCAAGTGGCTAAGGCGCCATCCACGTACACCCAAGGTGGCGGGTTAGAATCCAGCCTGGGCCCGCCAAACAACAATGATGGCTGCAACCAAAAGATAGCCGGGCGTTGTGGCAGGTGCCTGTGTTCCCAGCTACTTGGGAGGCAGAGGCAGAAGACTCGCTTGAGCCCAGGAGTTGGAGGTTGCTGTGAGCTGAGATGCCACGGTACTCTACCCAGGGGGACAGCTTGAGGCTCCTGTCCCAAAAAAAAAAAAAAAAAATTCTTGGGCTCAAGTGATCCTCTCCCCTCAGCCTCCCAAGTAGCTGGGATTACAGGCACCCATTACAATGCCTGGCTATTTTTTTAGAGACAGGATCTCTCTCTCTTACTCAGGCTGATCTGGAACTCCTGACTTCAAGTAATCCACCCACCCTGGCCTCCCAGAGTACTGGGATTACAGGCGTGAGCCACCGCGCCCAGCCTATTTTATTTTTTTAAATGAACGTATTTAAAATACCAAAAAATACAAAGAGTGTCAATGAAATAATCCTCCCAGACTGACTGACACAATTAACACATTAGTAAGCCCTAAGGACTACATTGATGCTGCTACAGTCATGATTTAGTTTAACTTCTCCCTCCTGACTGGCACCACTACTGCATGAGGCTGGTTAGTGGGAGCTTATGGGGGTCAAGTTCACCTGTCTGTTATCAGCTTTTGACAATGGGGTACCGAGTTTCTGTTTGAAGTCACGTTTGTGAATAGTTACAGAGCTTGACAGCATTTCTCTGTGATATCATGTCCAAATCAAAACAAACTGAGTATTTCTTTACAAGGTAAAACTAAGTCTATATATACCATGCGACAAAAAAATACAAGCACTTCAAAAAAAGATAGCTTTTTTCAAAACTTCTTCAAAAGGAAATTTGGGATAAATGCTTTCCCCAGTTAGCAACAGTCATTGATGAGCAGGATGATATATTCAAATCACTTGAAGAATACACACCTGTTATAGACCGATTAATTGGAGAATTCAGTGAAAGTTTCACCGACTTTGAGAATCATGACCTCACACTCAGATTAGCATTTCAGCCTCACCTAGGTGATATCGCCAAGGCACCTAAAGAGCTACAGATGGAATTGATTGAGCTGTCAGGAAATGACATTTTAAAGTCATTGTTTGATGCTAAGATGCAATTGAAATATGCCTTCAGCAACATGCCTGAGAAACGCTTTTTTGCTTTTCAACCACTTATTGCTGTAAATCTGCATTTTCCTATCTAACCTAAATCAAGATGCCCTTAAAGTCACAAATGACTGATACCCATCTGGAGGATCACCTAAAACTGAGGCCTCTCATGCTGCAACCAAATATTCAAATGCTCTCCAACAAAAAGAAGACACAGCAAAGTCATTAAAAGGGTAATTAACTTTAGAATTGAGTTTTCATTTTTTGAAGTTATTAAGTACACAGCAGTTAGATTACAAAATAATGTACATTTTTAAGTATATCTTGAATGTGGCCTTATTTGATTACAGCTAAATTAATGTGGCCTTCCAACATGAAAAGGATCCCCACCCCTGGTTTGAGAGGGAGGGATTATGTGGTAGGTGAGGTTGGGCGTGAGCAGCTGATGAGGCATGGGCACTGGTCCCCGAGGGCGGGCCCGGGATGCTGCTGAGCGTGAGCTCCAGTAGTTGTACCCAAGTCAAGGAACAGGGAGGGACATTAGCTCCTGCATCCACCCAGTGCTCACTGAACATCTACTACACCCTGGGCCCTGAGCCAGGCTCTAAGCACCAGGAGAGGACAGGACCCAGGCCAGTGAGGGAGAGACGCTTGTAAGCAAACAACTGTAACTCTGCATTCTTGGTCATTAGAGCAGAGGCATCAGTCTTAGCGGAATTTGAGCTGAGCACCGGGAGGAGGTGCTGTGTTTATTTTGATAGGGGCCTAGAAACCATCCCACGTGCACATCCCCTTCCTTGCCTTGCCCTGCACCCATCAATCTCGCTGTCCCCCGGAGGTCTGGAAGGACACTGGTTAGGACAGAACTGAGCTGTACCCACCAAGACAGTAGTTTCTCCTTGGCAGAACCCTACCCTGATGGGTGTGGATGGTCTAAGTAAGCTGCAGGGATAGGTCATGTGGGTGCCAGAATGGTGACTCCTGGGTTGTGGGCAGATGTAGAGTTTGGGGAAAGGGAGGCAGGTTAGGATTTCCAGGTAATGTTCCTACAAAACCATCAAGGAGCAGAAGGAAGAAGTGTGTTCTGTGGAAGGAAACAGGAAACAGGAAGCAGAGTAGGGATGAACAGGAAGTTCCAAAAAAAAAAAAAACAGAGCTCCCTTCAGTGAAGGAAGGACTTTCTGAGATTTGGGCATTGGATGACCTGTCTCTCAGAGGTATGGCCAGCTGGGACTGTGGGTAAATATCCACCAAGAATTCAGCTGAGGGAATCTGACCCTGAGCAGGAAGCTGAGAGAGAGAGAAATGGTCTCTGAGATTCAGGGATAATAATGATAAAGGCAAAAAATAATAAGAAGAAAAAGAAAACACAAACAAAAAGAGAAAAATGATAATGGCAATTCTGACTCATCCTACCTGCTCTTGCCCATCTGTGATAAGGATATACAGAGGATGCCAAAAGAATATATACAATTTTAAGAAAGGAAAAATCTCTATTAAAATTGTAATATTCTGACTTGGCGCCCATAGCTCAGTGAGTAGGGCACTGGTCACATGCACCAAGGCTGCTGGGTTCGAGCCTGGCCCGGGCCTGCTAAATAACAATGACAACTACAACACAAAAAATAGTTGGGGGCGGCACCTGTGGCTCAAGGAGTAGGGCACTGGCCCCATATGCTGGAGGTGGCAGGTTCAAACCTGGCCCCAGACAAAAACTGCAAAAAAAAAAAAAAAAGGAAAGAAAAAAAAAATAGGCAGACGTTGTAGCAGATGAGTGTAACCCCAGCTCCTTGGGAGGCTGAGGCAAGAGAATCACTTAAGCCCAAAAGTTTGAGGTTGCTGTGAGCTGTGACACCACAGCACTCTACCAAGGGTGATATAGTGAGACTCTGTCTCAAAATAATAATAATAATAAATAAATAAAATTGTGATACTCAGGTCACCTTTGACTTCTGCAATTACAAGAGGTACAAGATACGATATATAACAAATGTCATCAGCATATATTGAGTAGTACAATTTTAATACAGTATTTTCCTTTCTTAAAATGTGTATACCTTTTTTGGCACCCTCTGTAGATGGCTCAGAGGGTGACAGAGTTGCCGTGGGCTGTGGCAGGGAAGGAGAAAATCAATGCAAGGCTTGAGCCCATGACCCAGGGTTCAGGAGCCTTCATCAAATACCAAACTCCCCTTGTATCCAGCCCTGGGGCATGTCAGGGCTGAGATAATTACCACCCAGTAACCTCATCCTCTGGTCCTGACTCAGCCACTGATGTGTGTATATATACATAGCATCCTGTTCCGGCCTGTCCCTAGAAGGTTGTACTTGGGAAGTAGCAACCTGAATTCATGGGTTACAAATCCAGCGTGTCCTCAGGCAAGAAGTCTCTTTCTTCTCAACTCTGGATCTCAGTCTCTAAGTCAATAATGCACACCTGAGCTTCTGATGGCTTTTCTAGCTCTGCTGACATTAGACTTGACAATTCTATGTACAAGATGCCTGGGAGTTTCTGCTTGTGTTTCCCGACAAAGCCAAAGTCACCTGAGCTCAAAGTTCTGGGGCTCCAGGGGTCTGTGCCTGCCCAAGAGCTACTGGAGCTAACTCAGTGTGAAGAGCTGGTTCTATTTTCCAATGTGAGACTTGGCAGAGCAATGGGAAAGTCCCCTGGCATTATTGTTCCAGCTCCTGCCACACAGGATCACTGTTGAACCCTGGTCCTGAACAGCCCTCGCTCACCCCCCACCCCAGTGGCTATAGGAGCTGCCAAGCTTGGGACACATATCAGCTGTATGAGTTCCTACTCCTATTATCCCCAAATCACAATGCTAGGCTGTGGCTTCCAGCCTAGGCCACACTAAAACCAGTCTACTCCATGAATCTTAGGCCTGGGTATGAAGACCATGGCAGTGGTCTCATGAGGACAGTGTACTTAACTCAAATCCTCAGATGAGTACAGCCCCAGTTGACAGATGATTGCAACTACAGGAAGGAGTTCAAGTAACAGCCAGTGAGCTGAGGTCTCCCCAAATTCCTGACCCACAGAGACCATGAAAGACAACGTATGATTATTGTTTTTCTGAACTATGCTCTGGGTTAATCAGATTGGTTAGGCCACAATGGATAACTGAAACATCAACTCTCTTGTCTCTAATGCTCTCTCTTTATAACAAATATTTAATAGTTCCCCTTTGCCATTCTGAAATTAAATTGATGCATCTTATCTGCCTCCATACATCACTTTAAAAAATTATATCCTAACTACTAGAAGAATCAATGTGGTTATAATGTTTACGCTACCTAAAATGATTTAGAGTTTCAACAAAATTCCCATAAAAATACCCACATCATTTGTCATAGACCTAGAAAAAGCCATCCTAAACTTCATATGAAACCCTAAAACATCCAAAATACCCAAAGCTATCCTAAGCAAAAAGAACAAATCTGGAGGCATCACATTACCCGACTTCAAATTATACTATAAGAATATAATAACCAAAATAACATGGTACTGATATAAAAGTATGACAAGAAATAGAATGGCCCTGTGAAAATTGGATAGCCACATGCAGAAGAGTGAAACTGGATCCCTATCTCTCACCATACACAAAAGTTAACTCGACATGGATTAAAAACTTAAATGTAAGACTTGAAATCATAATTCTAAAAGAAAATGTAGGAAAAGCTTCTGGACATTGGGCTATGCAAAGAATGTATGCCTTAGTTGGAGATGAAGGAGTTTGGACAGATCATAAGAGGTAAAGGTGCAGTCAGTGGAGGCTTGGCAAGATGAAAAAGGAAGAGCAGGCTCAGTGCCTGTAGCTCAAGTACCTAAGGCGCCAGCCACATACACCAGAGCTGGTGGGTTCAAATCCAGGCCGGGCCTGCCAAACAAAAAAGTGACAACTACAACCAAAAAACAGCCGGGCGTTGTGGCAGGCACCTATAGTCCCTTGGGAGGCTGAGGCAAGAGAATCGCTTAAGCCCAGGAGTTGGAGGTTGCTGTCAGCTATGATGTCACGGCACTCTACCCAGGGCAACAGCTTGAGGCTCTGTCTCAAAAAAAGAAAGAAAGAAAGAGAAAGAAAAAGGAAGAGCATACATTAGCTTCCTAAAGCATCTTATTGCATATTGCTAGTTAATCTTATACACTGCACCAGCATGATCTTTCCAAATCTGATCGCATCATGCCCCACCCCCTGCCTGCTTAAAATAAAATAATTTGTTGACACACCACAGCCCTTAGAATAAAAGGCAGACTCCCCATCCCCCTCCAAGTCTCAGTGGTCTGGACCCTTGCTAACTCCTCCAACCTCATTGCTTTCCCCACACATCTGCTTTCTCTCAAATTTTAGAAGCCACTGTGCTCCCTCCTGCCTCTGTGCCTAACGTTGTAACTCCTGCTAAAAGCCCAGGACTGTATGTGTTCTGTGCTCTGAGGACTCCCTTAGGGAGAATGCCTGTCCCTCAGGGATCTTTTCAAAGCTTGCTCCTAGACATTTGAGATCTATCTGCTTAATGCCAATCTTCTTTGCATTAAGCTGTCAACTGCTTGGTGTCAGAGCCAGTGGATATTTCATGGACTATTGGGTCTGCAGGATCCAACGTGACACCTGACATCTGAATGAATGAACCCTGAATAGATTGAAGAAAGGATACTTGGGTTGAGGCTAGATTCATCACTCAACTCTCCCCTGCAGACATCCCGTCTGATTCAAGATTCAGCAGCAATGTCACCTTCTTGAGGAAGCCTTGTGGTTCACCCTTCAGACCAGACCTGCCCCTCTGCTATGGTTATTTCAGTTCCTGTGCTTCTCCTTGGCAGGATGTATCAAAGCAATAACCAGTCGTGTGTGTGCTTACCTATTTAGGGGTCATCCCTCCTTGCCTGGAACATCACAACTCATTTTCCTGAGCACTCACGTTCTGAGGGCTCTAGATGATAGGTAGTTATCCTCACCATCACTGCACAGGCATTATTACTCCCATTCCCGGAGAGGAGGAAACTGAGGTACAGAGAAGTCAAGGAGAAGCCATCAGCTGACCCCAGAGGCTCTGCTCATAGCCACTGAGCAATGGCCTTAAATCCACGTCTATCTTGTCCTCAGTGGCAGATACTAGCCTGGTATAGAGAATATACAGTCCATCCTCAGTGTTTGTGGATTCTGCATATGCGAATGGGTCTACTTACTGAAATTTATTTTTAACTCCAAAATCAATACTCTTGGCACTTTCTTGCTCATTCACAGACACACAGAGAGTGGTGAAAACTCAAGTCACCTAACACGCATGTTCCCAGCTGGAACTGAACAGGTGACGCTCTGCCTTCCTGCTTCAGCGCTCATACTATAAACAAGTCTCCTTTCTCTGTCCCTATCATGCCAAACTTTTGGCATTTTTGTCCTTTTTCTTGGTTATTTCTCTATCTGAAATGGCCCCCATGTCTAATGTGAAATGCTGTCTAGTTCGTAAATACAAGAAGGCGGTGATGGGCCTTACACAGAAAACAGGCATGTTAGATAAACTGCATTCAACATGAAGTTATAGCACTGCTAGGCTGTAAGTTCAACATGGAATCAACAATATATGTAAAATAATGTGTATTTAAACAGAAACACACATAAGACAAGGTTACTTACTGGTCAATTGATGACTAAATTGTGAGCAGAGGCTCACAGGAACCTAACCTCGTGTTTTCCCTAAGGGCAGTGGTGCAGTACTCATGAATTCAGCAACCACCCGGAATAGGGAATCTCCAGTGTGTGATAGTGTGACCGGATGAACAAAGGACTGGCAGGGTGACGTAGATGGATGGGAGAATCCGCCAGGTGTGGGTGAGGGACACGGCGAGGACCTGGCCTCATCTCCCTGTCCTCTCCCTGCTCAGGGATCAGAGTCATCACAGTGGACTGGCAGCTGGAGAGGAACGGTGCTGCCCACCATACCCAGGAGTACCCCTGCCCCGAGCTGGTAGTTCGCAGGGGCCAGTCGTTCACGCTCATTCTGGAGCTGAGCAGGGCCCTGGACGACGAGGACGCCCTCATCTTCACGGTGGAGACGGGTGAGTGGCCTCGCTGGCGCCCTCTGCTGGTACAATTAGAGGGACTTGGCTTGTGACCAGTAACATGAGACCCTGAGGTCAACAGCCGCAAAGCAAGTTCCTGTGGGTGGGCTGAACGAACCTTGATCCCCAGAGGCTTGTGATCACAGCTTTTTTGGGACATTTGGAAGGTGCTGCTGCAGATAGTGGGATGAATGAGATGTCCTCTCTGGAAGCCTGTGTGTATCAAGGAATCAGGGCTCTGGAACAGCATGGAAAATCATGGGCACTTTGGGAACCCAAGCTGTTCTCTTTCCCTCCAGGACATAGATAGACTTTGATTTCAAAGGGGTGCTGTCACTTCCTCCACGTCCTAGCAAGTGGCTGGGAGTCAGGACAGCGCAAGTGTACCCCACCCTGCCACTGGCCTTCTTGTTCTTGGGCAGCACCCCACCCCCCGCAACCTCCCAGCAGTGCAGGGGTGAGGGCTGCGCTCCCAGGCCTGCCGCTTTTCCACTTCTCTGAAGCTGGGCTGCCCAGGGGCAGACAGGGTCTCCTGCCTGATCCCCTCTCCCCTCCACTAGGACCCCAGGCGTCTGAGGAGCTCCACACCAAAGCTGAGTTCCAGACATCTGGGCCAGAGGACGACGATACCTGGACAGCCGTGGAGGAGGCTCGGACAGAGAACATCCTGACCATCAGCCTCACCAGCCCTCCCGATGCTGTCATCGGCCGTTACCTGCTGAGTACAAGGGTCTCCTCTCGCCGCAAACACAGCAACCGCAAACTGGGGGAGTTTGTTCTCCTTTTCAACCCCTGGTGTCCAGGTAAGAGCTGCTAAATCCAAGACGAAGGTTTTCCTGGAACTTGCCCTCAGAGGTGGGCCTGCCCTTAGAGGAGGCCTCGGAGGCAAGTTAAGGGACAGGAAGATGAATGAAGAGCAGGGCTAGAGCTGGGCCCAGCAGAGGCACGCACCGGGCACAAGAACTTGGTAGCAGGTGCCAGAAAGGAGCCTGTGGAAAGGGACAGGAATCTGGTAGTTTCTGGTGCACAGAGATCAATAGGCAGGAGATGCCCAAGGTGGGTAAGAGCTGGACGGGGAATTGGACTGCCTTGGTTTAGTCCCAGCTCTGCTAAGTTGCTTCCCTCTGCGAGTCTCAATTTTCTCATCTGCAGTATGGGAATAATAACAGTGCCTACCACTCAGGACTATGGTGAGAATTCAGCATAGCCCCTGCTGAATTCAGCCCCTGAATTCAGCCCCCCCTGCCCCAGTCTCCAGGCACTGTCCTGCTGCAGATCCAGTCACAGCCCCTTCCCCAGGCCAGCAGGTCCAGAGCCCCCGCCCACAACCTGCCTGGTGACTGCTTTTCAGAGGACGATGTGTTTCTGGCCTCAGAGGAGGAGAGACAAGAGTACGTCCTCAACGACAATGGCATCATCTTCCGAGGCGTGGAGAAGCACATCCAAGCCCAGGGCTGGAACTACGGGCAGGTCTCCAGGGGCGCAGGCACATGGGGACAGGGACACGGGCTGGGGCATGGGAAAGTTGGCTAGCCCAGGAGCCCTCAGAAGGCACATGCTGGGCTCACTCTGTTAGAGCAAATCCTTCATTCATCCTTCCACCGCTCCCTGGGCCAGGGCCTGTGCTGGGCCCTCAGGAAGGAGAGGGTCTTGGAATGTATGATAGCTCTGTGGTGGAAAGAGAAGCAGCTCCAGTTAGTGGTTTTCAAAGAGGAGCACACATCAGAATCACACACAGGGCACCTGGAAACCCAGATTGCTGGGCCTCATCCCCAGACTCAATGGGTTTCCGCAGAACCTGAGAGTTTGCACTGCTGATTTCCCAGGCGAAGCTGATGCTGCTGGTCTGGGACCCCCTTGAGAGCCACTAGCTTAGATAACTAGTTATGACACCAGATGCAAGGAGGGGGGCAGAAAATTCAGAATGGTAGGGGTGGGAGCAGATGGGGCAGTCCAGAAGAAAGTGAGAGGAAACGCCACACAGGGGACTGTGCAAGGTATCATGATATTGGGGTTGGGTCTCCAGAGTTAGAGAGGATCTGGACGGCAGAGGGAAGAGCAGACAGCCGCATGGTGATAGGGAGTAAGGGTGTCCTGAGTCAGCTAGAGGAGCTCTGTGTGTCTGAGTCTGGGGTGCCCAGCCAGGAGTTGTGCTGGATAGGCAAGTGAAGGATGTGACTGTCAGGCTGAGATGTCCTGCACCACCCTGCAGGCCAGGGCTTCAACACATTTGGGGCTTGGCGCTGGGCAGGGAAGATACTATGGAGAGTTCAGGGTCTATCTAGGGGTGGCCACTGCTCAGCACCCATCTCTTGATGCTGTGTGGGAATGTGAGCCCAGGCTTGCCAGACCTTCTAAATCTTGAGGCATCAGAAATCTAAATTTGTAGGTAAAAATCCCCCAGTTTTTAAATGTTGCCAGTGAACTCAAATGCATCTATTTGAAAGCATCACGTAGACCAAATGTTCGCACACCAGTGAGGCAGATGCATCTCGGGAGCCACTCTTTGCCCACACGTTACCACGGGCAACAGGGAGCCAGGGAGGTTACGGGACAGGGGAGGGGCCTGACTAATGTTGAGCTCCTAGCTCCCCTAGTGACTCTTTGAGGAAGGGGTTCTGGGACAAGGAGATGCTCTGTGATGTCCCTGGGGCATGGAGCCGGGGCAGATGCCCCTGCACAGACACAGGTGTCTGACCAGGTGAGGGGGGAGGGCTGGAAGGTGATACCTAAGCACAGCCTCTAAGCACAGCCTTCCTGGGGAGCAGTTTGAAGAGAACATCCTGAACATCTGCCTCTCCATCCTGGACCGAAGCCCCAGTCACCAAGACAACCCAGCCACCGATGTGTCCCACCGCCATGACCCTGTCTACATCACCAGGATCGTCAGTGCCATGGTGAGCAGCCCCCTTCCATCTTTCAAGGGTCCCCAGGCCAACCCCAGGGCCAGGCCCTATGATTCTTCCCAAGTCACCCCTTGTCTTAATTCTCTGTTTCTATATAAAAATCCACCCCAGACACAGGGTGGGTATAAATGCAGCCCTTTATTATGCTTACAATTTTGGAGATCAGGAGTGTGGGAAGAGCACCATGAGAATGGGTTGTCTCTGTTCCAAGATGCATCAGCTGGGGGTAGCTGAATGGCTGCAGATGTCTGGCATGGTTTGAGGGGACCACATATCTGGGGCCTTGGTTCTGGTGGTCAGCAGTTCTTTGGTCACCATCCATATGGTGTCTGCTGGAGCTGGAATATCCAAGATAGCTTCTTTGTCCATGGGTCAGGCCCCTAGGCTCAGGTGGCCAGAACAGCTGGACTGGTCAGTCACCACTCTGTCTCTCCATACAGCCTCTCCACGTGGCTAGCTTGGGCTTCCTCACAGTATGGCAGGCTCATCCATGGCAGTTGGCCCTCCCTCCAGTGATTGTTTCAAGGAAGAGGTAGTGGAATCTCCAGTCTTAGAAGACCGGGAAACTGGCACCGCATCACTTCCCAGATAGTCAGTGATCAACAGCAATCACAAGCCAGCTCAGACTCAAGAGGAGGGGACATAGGCCTCAGCTTTCCATGGAAGGAGTGCAAACCTTAATCTATCACAGGCTTCAGGCCACAATGTTTCCTCCTCAAAAGGTGGCTGGGGGCCTGCCAGCTCCTTCTGTCACATGCAGATGTTAGGGTCACTGTGTGGGTACCTGAGATTCCAAGACTGCACAAAGCTGTGTTTTTCATATATGATAGCCTCAATTCTTTTACACCTTAGAGAGCCAGCAGAGCACAGAGAACCATCAGTGATAATCCCAAACAGATTATAGCCCTGCAGGCAGTGGAAGTCCTGAACTCAGGATCCTGAGTCCAAGTCTTGAACTCACAGGTCACTACGTTTACAAATCTGCTGTGTGATTTGGACAAGTCTCTTAATGCCTCTGAAGCTTACTTTTCTTGTCTAAAAAGAAAAGATAATAATAGAACCTATATCACAGACTCACACAGGTGAATATAGCATGCACGAAGTTTTAGGATAGTGCCAAGAACACTTTAGGCATTTAAGAAATGTTACCTGTCTCTATAATTATTATGCCACCAACAGTCCCCAAAACAGATCATTCAAAACAGGAAAGGCTATACAGTCACAGATGATTTTTAACATAGTATCCAGAAAATAATTGAAAATGATAGGTGCCATCAAAAAGTAGGTATTTTAAAACTGCCGATGCCCCCAATTTTCAGACAATTTAAAAGCAGAAGTGACCCCAACTGACTTCACAATGACAGGGCTCTGAAGGTGGGGTGCCCTGCCCTATGGTGGACCTGTGCCTTCCCTACCCAGGTGAACAGCAACAATGACCGGGGAGTGGTCCAAGGCCAGTGGCAGGGCAAATATGGCGGCGGCACCAGTCCATTGCACTGGCGTGGCAGTGTGGCCATTCTGCAGAAGTGGTTCAAGGGCAGATATAGGCCAGTCAAATACGGCCAGTGCTGGGTCTTCGCTGGAGTCATGTGCACAGGTACTCTGGGGAAGAGGGGCCCCACCCCTAGCCTGGTCCTTGATTTGCATGTATTTGCATATATTGCAATCTGTCTTCGTTGATGAGGAGGAAATAGAAGTCTGGTAAATAAAAGAGAAACCAGATAAATCATTTATTTGACTTCTGACCTTTCATTCTGCAGAAGGAGTCCTACCTCCCTCTGCCTTTCACTTGTTGAGTGCCTTGGGCCAGTGCTATGGCTCCCTTGGTCTCAGGTCCCATCAGGAAGATGGCTGTTATGTGGCTCCCAAGGTCCTGCCAGCCTTAGAGCCTGTCTGTTCAGGTGGGGTGGCAGCAGTGTCTCCAGAAGATCCTGAGAGAATGCACAGGAGATGGTGGCATTTCTGAATGTGAAGGCATCACAGCCCTGCCATCTGCTAAAGCAGATAAACATGAGGACAGGGAGGACAGAGGGAGGGCATTGGCCAGAAATGAGGCTGGTTGGCCTGCTGGGGAGGGAGTGGACCCTTCCCTCCAGATCTGGGGTCCCGGGCTGCTCTGGAGACCCTTGGCCTCTGCTCTTCAGTCCTTAGGTGTTTGGGGATCGCCACACGGGTTGTGTCCAACTTCAACTCAGCCCATGACACAGATCAGAACCTGAGTGTGGACAAATATGTGGACTCCTTCGGGCGGACCCTGGAGGATCTGACGGAAGACAGCATGTGGTAAGTCGTGCTTCCAACCCAGCCTTAGGGGCTCTTGAGCCCAATAGGGATGGCAAGAGGTGTCCATGTCATCCTCCATGACACAGCCTGGGAGGGGCAGGTTTACAGCCAGCTCTCCTGACCTAGGCCAGTTCTGGAAGGTGGGAGAGCCATTTGTAGATGGGGGATCCCCTTCTGCGATGCAGGGTCTTTAGACACCTGACTGAGAGTTTAGGGGAGGGCTGGACATTTGATTGCCTCGAACCCCTAGTTTGTGGAAATCTGTGACCTCCTAGGGGTGGGGTGGGACTTCCTCCCCTGTGGTCTCCTTGGAATCCGGCTCCTGTTTCTGTGTTGGCCAAGCATTCTCTGTTCTGCGCCTTAGGTGGGAAACAGCCTCTCTCCTTTCCCCGTTAAAACAAGACTCTTCACACACAGTTTTTAAAACTTCATTTTAATTTAAGTTTCTAAAATAGAAAACACATTCATGTGGTTCAAAAGGGACAAAGTGAGTCACAGTGGCAAGTCTCTCTCTCACCCCGTTCCGCATCCTCCCCATCCTCTAGGCAACACCAGGTTCCTGCATCTCCTGCCAGAGAGGAGCTCTGCAGATACGGAAACAGACATAGATCTAGCGCCTCCCCCCTTCTCTACTTAAACAATGTCAGTAGCATGAGGTAAAACTGTTCTTGCTTGTACAGTGAACAATGCCATGTCAGTGCTTAAACTTTTCATTGTCTCTCATGTTTGAAGTGTTAATAGTAGCACACACACTGAGCACCTAGTCTGTGCCAGGTCCAGTTCTACATGTTGTTCCTAGAGTAACTCATGTATTTTCTCCCAACAATCTGTAAGTTTAAATCCTACTGTGCAGCATAGAGAGGTTAAATAACCTAAGGCCACACAACTAGGGAGTGGAAAAGTAAGGGTGTGAACCCAGTTTGCCTCTCAATCATATGAAAAAGCCATCTTTTGTCCAAACATCCTATATGAATGGACACTGCAGGTGCTTCAGTTTAAGAAACTTTTACAAATAAGTCTTCAGTGAATAACCTTGTTCAAATGTGTACTTAGACAGCTGACTTTCTAAAGATAAGGGGAGATGGTGATGAGAACACAACACAGAAACACAGATGGCCTTGTGCCAGCAAGCCACCACCCAGGGATGCTACATACTTTCTGTTCTTTGAACACACTAAGCTTTTTTTTGTCTCAGGGCCCTTTGCACATGCTGTTCCTTCTGCCTGGGACGCTGTTCCCTTCACTCTTCCTCTGGCTAATTCTTTCTTATTTAAGTCTCACCTTAGATGTCATTTACCTAGATTAGGTCTAGGAGTTATTTTGAAGCTCAAGCCTCTCTTTTCTACATTTAGTCACTTGCATTTGTTTGATTTATCTCCTGATTTAATTTTTCCTGTATCTCTCATTGGAATATAAGCAACATGAGAGCAAAGATCTTCTGTCTTTTTTGCAATTGAATTTCTGATACATTAAACAACAGGTTTTTGATATATATACACTCATACATCTATATGCACACATGTATACAAACAGATATGTGGATGATACGTGCCCATCAAGGGGGTTGAATGAATGATTCACAAATTGCAGCTACAGACCTTGTGCAGAATAGGGACCTGGCTCACAGTGAGACCTCCCCCTCCTTGGGCCTCTGTGCTCACTCTTAGCCACCTTACCCACCATCTGTCTGTGGCAGGAATTTCCACGTCTGGAATGAGAGCTGGTTTGCCCGACGGGACCTGGGCCCCTCTTACAATGGCTGGCAGGTTCTGGATGCCACCCCCCAGGAGGAGAGTGAAGGTAGGGCTTAGCCCAGAGGGTCCCAGGCCCCAGACTTTCCTCACACACATTGCTCATGCCCACCCTTCTTGCAGGTGTGTTCCGGTGTGGCCCAGCCTCAGTAATCGCCATCCGTGAGGGTGATGTGCACCTGGCCCATGATGGCCCCTTCGTGTTTGCGGAGGTCAATGCAGACTACATCACCTGGCTGTGGCACGAGGACGAGAGCCGTGAACGTGTGTACTCAGACACGAAGAAGGTCGGGAGATGCATCAGCACCAAGGCGGTGGGCAGTGACTCCCGAGTGGACATCACAAGCCTCTACAAGTATCCAGAAGGTAAGGGCCATAAGGCAGGCTTTATCAGCTTTCCCAGAACAGGTCTCCCTGCGGGTGGGCTGGGGCCAGTCCCTCTCTCACATGCATGATGACTGATGGCAGCTTCCATTCAGCATTATCCATGCTCTGAGCTGACTACCTTTATTTAGGTTTTATTAATAGCTTCCTCTGTCTGCTAAGTACCTCTTCTGTGTGAGGAAATTTTCCTCATATAATAATAAGAGGTGCGTTTCCTTGAACATTTGCCCTATGCCAGAAACTATTAGGTATATTTGCTTAAGATAATAATGATTATACTAGTAATAATAGTGATGACAGTAGCAGGTATTACTTATTGAACACCTGGGATACATTGCACTAGGCACAGTTCAGACTAATAAAAATAGCCACTCCTGTTTATCACCTGCCATGGTCTGTTCATGGTCACTGATTTATGGCCACTGGTTTATTAAAGAGGCATTACTTGCTGGGGTACAGAAATAAGACACTTGTATTTTTTCTTATAGCTGCTTCCATCTATACCCTTATCTATTGAGTATCAGGTTCCCTAGTAGTGATGTAGTCTGATAACATATATTTTCTGCCGTTTCTAGGTGGTTAAAACAATGTTGCCAAGTAATTAAGACTTCAGGCTCAGATGTGAATCAGATCTTATCTCCTCCCCTCCCCTGAGCACACTAGAACAGTGACTCTGAAGGTTTGCAATGGAGAAGTAGACACAGCCTGCTCCAGATACCTCCTCACCTCCCTTTTCTACTCTTTAGCAGACCTAGTTTCACATTGGAATCACCTGGGAAGATGTTTTAATTATATATCTTAAACCACAATTACTTATTTGGTCAATTGGGTGGGTCAGGATTTGGGTTGTGCTCAGCTGGGATGGCTCATCTGTTCCATGTGGTGTCAGCTAGGATCTTGCATATGTCTGGGCCTCACATGGGACTGCTGGGATAGCTGGGCCTCTTTCCACACTTAGCCCCAGTAGGTTGGTTCTGTCCAGATGGCAGCAGCATTCCCAAAAGGATAGAATTAAAGCTGCAAATTCTCTTGAGGCCTACCTTAGAATATGTACCACATCCCTTCTGCCACATTCAGTTAGTCAAAGCATTTTGTAAGGCCAAATCAAGGAATGGAAAGTAGACTCCACCTCTTGAGCAGAGGAGTTGCAAGATATTATGGCCATTTTTAATCTGGCACAGCAGCCCAGACTACACCCTCACTAGTTGGATTGTAGTCTCTAATCCAGGGGATGTGGTCTGCCATCAGGACTTTTAAAAGCTCTCAGGTGACTCCAGTGTCCAGCCAATGTTGAGAACATGGGTCTAAGTGTTCTGGTGTGTTAGGCCAAGGAGGAGGGAGAGGAAGAGAGAAGAGAGCAAACACTTTTATCATAACTTGGCCAGGATCCAGTGCCGATAAGGTGGGCAGGAGCTGCTGCCAGGTTTACTGTCTGTACTTGGTGGGGACAAGTAGTGGCTCCACCACATCCTTCTGCCACGGAGACTCTCTCCTGTGCTGTCTCCAGGCATTGTTGATTTCTTGGCCCCTTTCAGTAGATCCCCTTCCACCTTACCCCCTCTCATCCCTGTTGGTCTTTGTCCCCAAGGTTTTTGTTTTGTTTTGTTTTGTTTGGTGATATTTTGAAATTTAATTGTAATCCAAGAAAAATTTCATTTTTTTTTTTTTTTTTT